CAAGAGTAGGCCTTCCTTCCCCTGGCAGCCAACACTGGCTTCCCTCTGGCACCTGGGACCTGGGCTTCCCTTGCAGCCTGGCTTCATCCAGAAGGTCATCTGGAAGGACGTCTGAAAGGACATCTGACCTAATTAGCATATTATACTTTTATTATTATAGATAAAAGCCTACGTGACCATTGTGACCGGTCACTGTGACACACACTGACCACCAGAGGGCAGATGCTCAATGCAGGAGCTGTGCCCTGGTGGTCAGTGCGCTCCCACAGGGGGAGCACCACTCATTTGACAGACCCGACCCGGCACCCACCAGCCCGGCGGCAGCCACTCACTCCTTCAGTAGTCCTGCAGGTCTCATCTCCAAAGAATGGGCCAGCGCCACGGACACGATCCCAACAGTGCTGCCCTCCTAGAAGTCGGCCTCGGGCACCACAGCCGCTTCCCCTCCTTAGACGCTCCGCAAGGAAGAAAGGATATGAAAGCAGCCGCCAGGTGGCTCCCAACAGCTGGTGCAAACGTCAGCAGGACAGATCCGGATCCCGGGTTGGCAAGCGCGTCCGGTCCCCCTCCCCACCTTGGGACCCCACCTGTGCATGAATTTGTGTACCGGGCCTCTAATATGAACATCTTTGGTTAACCTCTTCCTGCCCCTCCTCCCGAGATTCTTCAGTCTGTTCCATGTTTCTGCCTCAGATTCTATTTTTTTTTAAATATATTTTATTGATTTTTTTACAGAGAGGAAGGGAGAGAGATAGAGAGTTAGAAACATCGATCAGCTGCCTCCTGCACATCTCCCATTGGGGATGCGCCCGCAACCCAGGCACACGCCCCTGACCGGAATCGACCCCGGGACCCCTCAGTCTGCAAGCCGACGCTCTATCCACTGAGCCAAACCGGTTTCGGCTACCTCAGATTCTATTTTATTCATCAGTTTATTTTATTCATTAAATTCCTCCTTTTATTTTTATTTTTAGATTCAACTTTTGATAAGTATGTATTTATTGCCATTTTATTGTTCATATTTTTTATCTTTTTTTCTTGTTTTTCTTTTTCTTTCTCCTCCTCCTCCTTACCTTCTTTCTCCTCCAGTTTGGTGGTGATGAACTCCTTTAGCTTTTTCTTGTCTGTGAAGCTCTTTATCTGACTTTCAATTCTAAATGATTACTTTGCTGGGTAGAGTAATCTTGGTTGTAGTCCTGGCTTTTCATCACTGAATATTTCTTGCCACTCCCTTCTTGCCTGCAAAGTTTCTGTTGAGAAATCAACTGACAGTCGTATGAACACTCCCTTGTAGGTAACTAACTGCTTTTCTCTTGCTGCTTTTAAGATTCCCTCTTTGTCTTTAACTGTTGGCATTTTAATTATGATGTGTCTTGGTGTGGGCCCCTTTGGGTTCCTCTTGTTTGGGACTCTGCGCTTCCTGGACTTGTCTGTTTCTTTCACCAGGGAGGGGAAGTTTTCTGTCACTATTTCTACAAATAGGTTTTCACTATCTTGCTCTCTCTCCTTCTGGCACCCCCATAACACAAGTGCTGGTAAGTTTGAAGTTGTCCCAGAGGCTCCTTGGGCTGTCTTCATATTTTTTGGTTTCTTTTTGCTTTTCTGATTGGGTGTTTTTTGCTTCCTCATATTCCAAATTGTTGATTTGATTGTCAGACTCCTCTACTCTCTTGTTGAGTCCCTATAAATTATTCTGTATTTCAGTTAGTGTATGCTTAATTTCTAACTGGTCCTTTTGCATGTCTTTCACATTTTCACTGAGTTCCTTGAAGCTCTCATTAAGATCCTTGAACATCCTCGTAACCATTAGTTTTAACTCTGTATCTAGTTGTTGTAGTTGAGCCTTGATTGCTATTGGCATCACTGGGAGGAGTTGACTTAGGAGAGCTTAGGCTCCCAGTCTTGCATAGATGGGAATTGGCTGTGCAGACCAGGCTGCAACTACAGTGGGAGAGCTGCTGTGCAGGAGATGCCCTATGGAGCAGGACTTGCTTCAGTGGAGCTATGGTGCTGAGTCTGCCCCTTGAGTGTGTCGCTTGTGGGTGTGTAGAGTTGTAATCTGCTATGGTCTGAAACTGTCCGCCAGGTACTGGGTCTGGTGCCTCCCGGGTGGTACACACTCAGCCACTGCCTGGGACCACCCTGCAGGAGCTACAGAGCTATCTGCAGATGGCTGTTACTTGTATTGGGCTTGGAAATGCCAGGTGAGGGCAAGCTGTGAAGTAAGGTAGGCTGGTGCTAGCGCTGGGTCTTGGGCCTCTTATGGATGGTTATGGGTTATGCCAGCCGTGGGCAAACTACGGCCCGCGAGCCGGATCCGGCCCGTTTGAAATGAATAAAACTAAAAAAAAAAAAAAGACCGTACCCTTTTATGTAATGATGTTTACTTTGAATTTATATTAGTTCACACAAACACTCCATCCATGCTTTTGTTCCGGCCCACTGGTCCAGTTTAAGAACCAATTGTGGCCCTCGAGTTAAAAAGTTTGCCCACCCCTGGGTTATGCTGACACCGGCTGCTGCTTGTTTGAGAGATTTTAGTAAAGTCTTTTTTAAAATATATATTTTATTGATTTTTTTACAGAGAGGAAGGGAGAGAGATAGAGAGTTAGAAACATTGATGAGAGAGAAACATCAGTCAGCTGCCTCTTGCACACCCTCTGGGGATGTGCCCGCAACCAAGGTACATGCACTGGACCAGAATCGAACCTGGGACCCTTCAGTCTGCAGGCCGAGGCTCTATCCACTGAGCCAAACCAGTCAGGGCAGGAAAATCTTCTTAGAAATAAGGCGATCCCCCAAAACCAGGGGTCCTAGCAGAACACAAGGGACATTCGGAAGCCAGACAGCAAGGCAGTCCCTTTCCTCCTGGAGGTGCGTATGCACTGGGGCTGGGAGCATGCACATGCTGAGCAGCGACCACTCGGGCTTTTATTGCTCATACACCTGATCTGTCCCTCACTCTTGATGGGAGAGCTTAGGCTCCCAGTCTTGCGTAGTCGGCTAATTTAAAGGAAAAAGGAAGGGGTTGGCCTTTGCCATTTCAAAATGGTGGCCCCAGGGGAGCTGCAAGTCACACGGGCCAGAATGGTGGCTGTCTACACTCCCTTCTATGACAGGGAAGATTATTTGTTTATTCTCAGTCTGAAACCTGAGCCAGAACAGGCTTATTCACATGAAAAAGCTGCTGCAACTTCTTGGGTGGGGCTGCAAATTGGAGAGGACCGGGCATGAAATTTATTTAAATATGTTTAGGGATACGTGTTTCACATGATGAAGTTCTCTGGCATGTTGTCACAAACAGTGTCCTCTGCAGACAGCTGCAGGTGACGTGCAGAAATGTTCAGTTCACAACAGGCACTGCGCAAACACTGGAAGTGCAGTCCCTCAGTCAGTTCCAAGGACGCCTCTGTGGGGTGTAGGTGCCGTCTCTTCATTTGCAAATAACAGGGTCGAGCATTAGGGTCCTGACTAACTTGCCCACAACAACAGATGGTGTGGACCAGACCGCTGTGTGTGCGGGTGTGTCTCAGTGTTTGTGAGCTTGTGGCTGTCCTGGCAGAGCTGTGCCAGGTCGTCCTTGGACAAGAGGAGGAAGGTTCCCATACGCCAGCTCTGTCCGAGGAGGGCATACACAGGGGTCCTGGGCTTCCACTGGGCGCCCGGCAGGCGGAGCTGGGGCTTGTTAGCTGAGTAGACACTCAGTCTTCGTGAGGAAATATGTGCCCATTTGTTTTGCTTTTTCTTAGGGGCATCATTGAAGCGTTTCGTGTTTTTTTTTTTCTGTCCACGGGCACCAAAGACATGCTTAAGTCTCAAGTCCTCGCTGCAGGCATCCCAGTCAAGGCTGTAGGTCTATGGGACGTGTACAGCGGACTGGTGCTCCTGACAGCCTTGCTCTTCAGACCACATAACCTTCCTGTCCTGGTGTGCAGCCTCTTGATCCAGACCGTGATGACCAAGTTCGTCTGGAGGCCCCTGAGGCACGGGGCCGCTGAGGTCACCGTCATGCACTATTGGTTTGGTCAAGCGTTCTTCTATTTCCAGGTAGGTTTTCGTTGTCTTTGTGGGTAGACCAGTAACTTTTTGTCATTTACCTTTTAGTTTTTCTTTGGGAAGTTTCCGTGTTAGTTCGGTGAAAGAGCTGTCAGTGTGGAGTGGTGATGCTGCCCCTGCCGCGTGTGTGTCTGTAGACATGATGCAGCAGTTGCGTGAGGCATGGCTGCTGCCGGACCATCCACACAGCTTCATCTGCTGAGGTGGTGACTGTGCTCTCGTGGCCATCCTGCTCGCCTGTCCCCTCAGTCACTCATCCTCTAGAGCCCAGCGTCCACCCTCAGCCTCCAGCAAGGGCCCCTGGGCCGCGTGACCTCCGGGTTCCAGCCCTTAGGCAGGGTCCCAGGGGGAGGGTGTGTCACGTGTCTGTGTGAAGTAGATCTGAGGAAAGGCAGACCTTGCTGCAGCTCATCAGAGACTTCGTCTGTATAGTCTCTCCACGATCAGACCTGGCACTTGCCCCTCGCCATCTTTGGAAGTGTGTCCGGGGTCAGCCGGGACAGGAGGGGGGGCGGGCGGCCGGGGCTCCTGGCTTCTCACGATCACCTGGCCATGTTGTGAGTGTGGCCATGTCATTCCAGGGAAACTCCAACAACATCGCCACGGTGGACATCTCGGCGGGCTTCGTGGGCCTGAACACCTACGTGGAGGTCCCGGCCATGTTCCTGACGGCATTTGCGACATATGCGGGGCCCGTGCTGTGGGCCAGCCACTTGGTGAACTTCCTGAGTTGGGAGCCCAACAGGTACAGCTCCCCCTCTGTCCCTCAGCAGTCTGTCCACGCCCCTCGAGTGCGCAGCTCCCTTTGCCAGGGTGACGGGAGGGGTGACCCTGGAAGGGGCAGGGGGCAGCCAAGGCCCACCTGTCGATGAAGCTTCTCCCAGTTCTCCTTCATGGTTGGTGCCGTGCTCCCTGAGGTCCCCTTTCTGACGGTTGGATCCCTAGTGGGACCCGTGGCATGTGGACAAGGACGTGCTGCAGGAGCTCGGGTCTGGAGCCGCCACAGAGAGTGAACCAGAGCGCCAGTCAGGCCGCCTCACAGAGCATGGCGTGGGGCAGCAGGGGTCATGGCCTGTCCCGGGGAGCGGTGGGGGCCGTGTGTGCCTGAGAGTAGAGCTGCATGCACTAACGCTCGGATCTTGCATTTCGGTCTGGGATCTGTTTTGAGCTGGTTCTTGCATGTGGTGTAAGTTGGTGGTCGAGCTTCATGTTTCGCACATGTCTGTCCAGGTTCCCAGCGCCCTTTATTGAGAGACTGTCTAGCCAGTGTGCACTCTCGCCACCACCTCTGTCCTAGACCATGTGGCCTGGGCTCACTTCTGGGCTCTGTTTAGCCCTTGTCATGGTGTATGATCTTGCTGGGCTCGATTTGCTAGTATTTTGTTGAGGATTTTTGCATCTATGTTCATCAGGGATATCAGCCTATAATTTTCTTTTTCAGTGTCTCTGTCTGGTTTTGGAATGAGGATGATGCTGGCCACGTACAATGAGCTTGGGAGCCTTCCCTCCTCTTGAATTTTTGGAAATAGTTTAAGAGGAATGCATGTGAATAATTCTTTACGTGTTTGCTAAAATGTACCTGTGAAGTCATCCTGTCCAGGACTTTTGTTTGTTGGGAGTTTTTTGATTCCTGCTTTGATTTCATGAGTAGTTAGCAGTCTGTTCAGATTCTTCTTAACTCAGACTTGGAGGATCGCACGTTTCTCGGAGTTTATCCATTTCTTAGTTTGTTCAGTTTGTTGGCGTATAGTTGATGATAGTCTTGTGCGGTTTTCTTTTCGTTGTCTATAGGTTGTACTATACATGATAGTATTGCAGTGTGTGCATATCGTTTTTAAATAGATACTTTTGCAAAACAGGGCATGAAGTGGCGTGACAGGAGGTATCTGCTGCAGCCTCATCTCCTCAGGCGCCTCTGCCCACCAGACTGACCAGGCCCAGGAGCAAGAATTACCTCCTCGTTTTCAAAATACAAATGTCAGTCACTTAATGCCCCCGGGACAGAGCGCGGTGCACTAACCCCATTTCCCTTTACCCGCAGCGGTTCGGCGCTGAGGCGCGCCTGCTTCTGCTACGCGCTGCTCAGCTCCGTCCCGGTGTCCGCCTACGTCGTCCTGGTGACGGCCCTGCGCTACCACCTGTTCATATGGAGTGTGTTTTCCCCAAAGCTCCTCTACGAGGGCGTGCACCTGCTCGTCACAGCCGCAGTCTGCCTGGGCTTCACCGCCGTGGACCGGGCCGGTGCCAGGGCAGACGCTGGGAAAGTGGCGCATTGTTAAAGCTGCTGTTTACTTCATGGGTTTGATTCATAAAAGTAGATGTAAGTTCAAGGTTATTCTAAAAAGAAGAGGTGAGTCCTACAGTGTGGGTGAGTAGCTCCAATTGCTGGGACGACTATACTTGACGTTGAGTTCAGTAGTAAGTGGCTAAGAAAAGGTCACTTTACAATACTTAATTTGAATATGAATCCTATTCCCCTGTGGACAATCACTACGGAAACTGCTGGACGTCTGATTGCCTCTGGATGAGTTAGGCTGTGGCCAACCCTGTGTGTTTACATGGTGCATCCAAAGGTGGCGAGGGTATCGCATGTGCGACCTTCAGAGGTTCGACCCTTTCGACCCCAGGGCCCTGGACCTCGGCTTCATGGGGTCACAGCTGTCAGCACTGATGGCATTGAAAATTAAAACAGACATTTCAAAACAATTTATTCATTTAAAAATAAAGATATTAACTTTAATATATTTTTAAGAAAAATAACTACTTTCCACACACAAAAATTAGCAAGAAGAGTGGCATTATCTTTTTTTTAATATATTTTATTGATTTTTTTTACAGAGAGGAAGGGAGAGGGATAGAGAGTTAGAAGCATAGATGAGCTGCCTCCTGCACACCCCCCGCTGGGGATGTGCCCGCAACCAAGGTACATGCCCTTGACTGGAACTGAACCGGGGACCCTTGAGTCCGGAGGCTGATGCTCTATCCACTGAGCCAAACCGGTCAAGGCAAGAGTGGCATTATCTTATATTTTTGCAAATCTCCTGAGTGTCTGGCTCAGGTGGGGACGGATGGGCTCTGCACTCAGTCTGCTGTGCTGTGTGCAGGTGCGGGCACACAGCCTGGTGCCGGACAGGAGGGTGTGGGTCTGTTTGTGGTCGTTGTGGGTGTTCTGTGTCGATGCTGCACTGAAACTTTCGAAGGTGCGCCAGAGGCAAGCGGTGAGTGGGTGCACTAAGCTTCACTCTGGTGTGGACAAGTCCTGTAGCTTTAAATGCCTCAGGGAAGCTGGGTGTGGGATGAGGATTCCTGTACTGTTTTTGCAACTTCTTGTGAGACTTAAACTTTTTCAAAATAAAGTTATTTTGAAAAGGAAGCTTAGTTGTGCTGTGCAGTCTGAAACCACACTGTGACCGGCTCTCACTGCGCTGGACTGCACTGCGCGGTTGTGCCTGAGGGAACCCGCCCCAGGGGTGGCTCCATCACACACTCATCTGGAGAATGACGTGGCAACATGGTTCGTGATGCACAGCCACACACCACTCGTCCCGTCGCCCACAGCCCATCAGAGCTCTGAGTGCCGGGAGCAGAGGGGCAGGTGCACGTGTCCAAACTCTTAACTTAGTGTGAAAACTCAACGTTCATCAGCTCATACTGAGTTGTCTTTGCAACGACAGTCCACTTGGTTCTCACGGAAATGACTGCCACATCCCCAAACCCGAGCCCTAGGTGGTCATTCTTTCAGGCGAGAACGGGCTTTCCTAGCGACACCTGGTGCACCAGGTCCCGGCACAGCCGCAGGTGGGGTTCCATCCATGTCATGGTCCTGCCTCCGGGCGCCTGGAGGAAGCACTCCTCCTCCACAGGCACCACAGGACTCACAGTCCGGCCCCTTGAACACTTCCAATTCTAAGAGCAGTGCGATCTAGAAGGAATGAGCGAGTTCTCTCAACCTCTACCACCTTGTCTCCTCTCTCTTCCCTCAATTCCTGGCCTCCCCAGGGTCTGCCCCCTCTTTTTAAGAAATAATGACTTGGTATCATTGTAATTTTTTAATCATAAATACTCAAACAACAAAAACACCGCATTTAAAAATATATATTTTTATTAATTTAAGTGAGGAAGGGAGAAGGAGAGATAGAAACATCAGTGATGAGAATCATTGATCGGCTGCCTCCTGCACTCCCCCTACTGGGGATCGAGCCTGCAACCCGGGCATGTGCCCTTGACTGGAATCAAACTTGGTACACTTCAGTCCACAAGTTGACACTCTATCCATTGAGCCAAACCAGCTGGGGCAAAAACACATTTTTTTAAAGAAAGTTTTTAAATATATTTTATTGATTTTTTTTTTTTTACAGAGAGGAGGGGAGAAGGATAGGGAGTTAGAAACATCAATGAGAGAAACATCGATCAGCTGCCTCCTGCACACCCCCTACTGGGGATGTGCCCGCAACCAAGGTACATGCCCTTGACCAGAATCAAACTTGGGGCCCTTCAGTCCGTGGGCCAACGTTCTATCCACTGAGCCAAACCGATGAGGGCAAGAAAGTATTTTTAACTATCACTGCCCAGAGCAGCAATCACGGACACTCGGGGAACTGTCTCGGGCATTCGTCCGGCAGGCTCCACTCTATTGCTATTTTTAATCCAGAGCTTTTAATGCAATTTTTCTGAATTTAACAGAAAAAGAGAAAGTGCTGAACTTTGGATAACTGTTCCTTCTTACAAGAAGTATTAGTTCATAAAAGATTCCTAAAAATTTAAGAAAAAATATTTTTAAATGTTCATTTTGAAAATTAACTACTCTTTCCTATTTTATTCCATATCCCTGGACTCCTTGCTATGAAACATGACAGAATTGTCACACACCCTTTCTTCCTTCCCCCACTTACACATTCTTTTATAGGGTTATTACCACAATTTATGACATCAGTTTTGTGCTGTGATCTACACAACTGGTCAGTTTTAATTCTGTGCTAAGTCGCTCATAGCTCGCCCCCAGGCCTTTCCACGCTGCTTGCTGTTATTTTCTTTCCTCTATTTTTGAATCTTTTTCAAAGAGGATTCATGGATGTGGACTCTGAACTTTACATCTGTCAGAGCAAGGTCTAATTCTTGGAGTGTGGGGCGCGGGTACGGTGTTTGGCCAGGTTCCAGCCTCGGACTAATCAAAGGACAGGGTCCTCTCACTGCCACGTGCACGCCCCAGCTGGAGGACAGGGCCCTCCCAGCACAATCATAGCCAACGGCTGTGGTTGTAAGCTTGAACCTATGGTCCGAACACGTAGCCCCACGTGCCTTGTGCTAGAGTTCGGGTGCATGTAGTTGAGTAGGGTTGAAACTCAACAGGAATGCTGTGAACAACGTGATCACGCCCCTACTTTGTCTCGTGGCATCTGCTATAAAATAAAGACATGGCTTGTGGGCGCTGGCGCTGTCTCCTCATCAGGGAGGCAGCGTCCCACCGAGACCCAGCTTTCATTCTCTTGTCTGTCTTTTCTCAATCCTTTCACCCCCCCACTCAGGATCACCCTTGGCTGTGCTGGCGCGGCACATTGTAGTACTTATTCCTACATCCTGCTCGCAGTGCCAATTGTCAGAGCAAGTCCTACTTGAACCCTGCTCGCCGTACCATTGTTGAAAGCACTCACTGCTCCATCCTGCCAATTGCTCCAAGTAGGTTCTGACCCTGCCCTACTATGCCAACTGTCAGGTCCAAGCCCCTCTGCGTGGGGCTGGACCTTCTGGGGCACCGGGTGGTAGAGAAGCTATGTATGACGAGTCATGAATACGTAAGAGAGTCTTAATTGTAGGAGCTAGTGGCCATGTAGCCATTGCTAACAAGGAGCCATTGTTCTCAACCTTCCTCATGCCGCGACCCTTTAATACAGCTCCTCATGTTGTGGTGATCCCCAATTTCATTGTTACAAATTGAACATAACTAAAGCACAGTGATTAATCACAAAAACTATAGATGTGTTTTCCGATAGTCTTAAGCGACCCCTGTGAAAGGATCGTTCAACCCCCAAAGGGGTCGCGACCCACAGGTTGAGAACCACTGTTCTAGACCCACAGCCTCTCATAGCAGCTGCATCTAAGCTCACAGCCTCAGTAGCCTCGGTAACATACTTTAATACTATTTAGACGTAAGAGGCTTTCCGCCAAATAGTGGCAGCAATGTGGGTTATAGAAGGGTACGCCTGCCCGGTGCACAGTGAGATTGCTGTACCTTGCCCCTGTGTAGAGCATCTTGGCCTTGAACACTTCGATAAAGATTGCCACACTCCAACTGGCCCTGGCCACCCGGCGTTCTCTGTGTTCCCACAGCATCCGTGAAGTGTCTGCTGTGGGATTCTGTGCAGTGGGGTCTGCCTCACTGTGGCTGCTGGTGGTCTGGCCCCTGTCCCTTCCTCCCTTACATCCAACTGGAAATGAAAAGTCTTTTAATAAACACTGCCTTCATAACTATTCAAAGTGTGTGTATACATTTTGGGGGGATACCCTATAGTTTTTCTTTTCCCCAAATGTCACATATCTGGAATCCCACCATATGTCGTCTTTCATATTGGGTTCTTTCCCTTGGTAACATGCATTTAAGGTTCCTCCACGTCTTTTCATGGCTTGATAGCTCATGTCCTCTGAGTGCTGAATACTGTTCCATTGTCTGGGTGACACAGTGAAAGAATCCAGTGAGCAACATCTTGTTTGCTCCCAAGTGTTGGCAGTTACGCTGCTGTAAA